TGACTAGTCGAATTATAATTATGACTAGTCAAAATATAATTAGAGATATCTCTAAATATATTTATGGAGTCAGAACAAAGATTTAAATGCTAAAAAGGCTTGCCATAGAGCACTTCTTACTGAACAGAGCAGCAGCGATGACGTAAGCGTGCCAAGGCCCGATATGGTGTGAGCGCGGGCCGTCGGGGGAGACGGGAGGGGGGGACAAGCGTGCTTTGGCCCGGTTCGAGGCAACTGTACCTAGTATGAGTACGGCCTTAGTGTAATCTGGAAAGTCCCTATGTTTCCATCCACCTATTTTTTATGTTTATTTTGGATATCCGCAAAACAAAATGGTTGATGGAAATGCCAAGATGTGCATACGTTTTGAAAATGCACATAACAAACATATGCGCATACACAGCAAAATTCTCTAAGTATAAAATAGCTGTCGCCGTCGCTGACGTGCACCTTTTAAAAAATTGTAACTACACGTCGCAACGACACGTAGAGTAAGCTCTATGATTGGTCGGCTTGGTATCACTGACGAGTGTGGGCGGAGGTGAGCCCCATGGAGCTTACAAGTGTGGAGTCCCATGAAGGAACTCCGCATGGAGACTGTTGTTTTGTGTTTACCTTATATTTAAAGGTGTTGAGCGTCCGCCGATTCCTGCCTCAAAATGAGCGAGGTTAAGCCACTTGTACATTAAGGAAGCGTTCAGAAAAAAACAAAACACCAGCAAAGAAACTCGACACAGAGGAACAAACACCTCACTGCCAACTAGCGTTTCGGAAGTGTTATTGCAGAGCATCAGAAGCAGAAGTATAAATGCACGGCAACAAGTGTTGCATGCGCCGTGGGTCACGCCGATCTCTGGATGCAGAAGTATAAACCAGGCTTTAGTGTATTCAGCATTGAACTCCATTGTATTAATGGGATTGTTTATGTTTTTGCTGTAACAAATTCATAATTAGTATTTTTTTATCTACCGCATTCATTAATATAGTTTAAAACAATATTTTCTAGTTATTTTTAGATATTATGAAATCACTCATGGAAACTGTTTTGTACCTTCGGCCCACAGCCCTCAGTAAAGTTTGTTTTTTGGCCCTTCGTAAGAAAAGGTTTGGGCACCCCTGGTCAAAAGCGTCTGTGCTCTGCGTCTCAAGCCTTCAATAACTACCTAGCACTCATTGTGTGTCAGCATCGTCTTCTGAGGCGCAAGTCTTTGACTCATTTGATGGAAATTTTTCATTTAATATTCCAGTTTTCTGAATAACTTAATTTACATCTGGATAAAAACACATTACAGCAGTTTGTTCTGTAGACAATGGAAAATAAATTGCTTAAGGGGGCTAGTAATACTGACCTTAAAATTACTTTAAAAAAACTTAAAATCTGCTTTTATTCTAGCCCAAATCAAACAAATAAGACTTTCACCAGAAGAAAAAATATTATGGGAAATACTGTGGAAAAATTCACAAAAATTAGGCCCCTAATAGTATCTTTGGGCCCCCCAAAATGGCAAGGGCCCTAAGAGTAGTCCTAACTTTTCTCCCTCTAGCGGCGCCCCTGCATGCACACAAGTCTACCGTTTGTTATTGTGACTGTAATAACTGCTCACACTGGCCCAGTTTTTCCTCAGGAAATGAGCACGCTGAACGATGCCCTCTTCATACTCATTACAATGATAATATTTAGCCACAGTGGAGGAGCAGAGCAAACATGACCATGAATGCTGTGTGTGTTTCAGGAGGATTCATTGGTTAAATCCAGGATGGCCATGTTTAACAGTGGTGGCTCTAAAGCACTCGGTTCAGACCCTTTCCAGAGCGAAGACCCCTTCAAAAGCGACCTCTTCAGTAAAGGTGTGGTTTTTTGGACTTACCTAAAGACGGCGTTTCTCAAAGAGAAACTGTGTGATTAGACACATCAAGCATATACAGTTTGGTCTATTGCAGGGGTGCTCAACCCTGTTCCTGGAGATCTACCTTCCTACAGAGTTCAGCTTCAACCCTGATCAAACACACCTAAACCAATTAATTAGGACCTGAACAGCACTTGATAATTACAAACAGGTGTGTTTGATAAGGGTTGCAACTGAAATCTGCAAGAAGGTAGATCCCCAGGAACAGGGTTGAGCACCCCTGGTCTATTGGAATCGAGGGCTTTATAGAGTTTAAAGGCACAAAATGTAACATTTATTTTCATTAAGATATTAAAAATCAATTAGAAATTTTGATTAATGTAAATTTTATTAAACTGTCTCAAAAATGAGTAATTGATTAAGCAACTGTAAGAGATTTGGGACATCTGTGTTGTATTTTATGTCTTTTCTGAAATGTTTTTTTTTTTTAAGTTTCAGAATTAAGTCCTGCTCTATATTTCTTATTTATTAAATTATTAATTTAAAGGTGCTGTATGTACGTTTTTGACTTCTAAAGCAGACTCCGAAATGGGGCGCAGATTCAGAGTTCCACATAAGGTGGTTATTAATTAGCAAATAATATAAATACAGTAATAATATATGAATAAATATATATAATATATAATATTAATAATATAAATATTAATTAGCAAATAATATAAATACAGTAATAATATAAAATATAAATATATATAATATTAATAATATAAATATTAATGAGCAAATAATATAAATACAGTAATAATATATAATATTAATATAAATATATATATAATATATAATATTAATAATATAAATATTAATGAACAAATAATATAAATACAGTAATAATATATAATATTAATATAAATATATATAATATTAATAATATAAATATTAATGAGCAAATAATATACATACAGTAATAATATATAATATTAATATAAATATATATAATATATAATATTAATAATATAAATATTAATGAGCAAATAATATACATACAGTAATAATATATAATATTAATATAAATATATATAATGTTAATAATATAAATATTAATGAGCAAAAAATATAAATACAGTAATAATATATAATATTAATATAAATATATATAATATATAATATTAATAATATAAATACTAATTAGCAAATAATATAAATACAGTAATAATATATAATATTAATATAAATATATATAATATATAATATTAATAATATAAATACTAATTAGCAAATAATATAAATACAGTGCTTCCCACATGTTTGAAATATACTTGCGGTGGTAGCCAGATTGAAGTACCATTTACCCACATCACATAAATAGTTACCTATATGTGACAAACAAAACATAATTTAACTTTAAATAATCATTTTATTTGTTATAACAATGCAATCCACTTTTTCTCTTACTGGTAAACCATTCAGGATCCATGTGTACCCACTGTCCGGTCAAATCTGCGTCTCTTTCTTCTTTCTGTCAAGATTAAAGCAAACTTGAATGCCACAGCATTTTAGATATGTATATAAAATAGCCTATGTAATATATTAACATCATCAAATTAATAAAATAATCAGCAAATGAGAAATAAATGACAGAAAAAGGACTAAAAACAGACAATATCTCAAAAAATTATAATAATTACGAGATTAAAATGTGTAAATTATTTTAAAAAGGCAAATGCATTGATTAACCATTTCTAATAGTGTACAAATATTTTGCAGCCAGTTTAGATTTAATTTCATTCTCTCTGAGTGTATTAAAGTTTTAATGAGTCGTTTAGATTAAAGAATGAATTATTTTATTTGCTCTCGCGGCCAGCTGCGAAGCCAAGCTATATTAGGCCTAAGCAAAAAGAAAGCAACCGCTTCAGAAAGCGAAAGCAAAAGTCGGATTCCTGAAATCTTTGTAGATTTTAAAACCCGGCCAGACAATATTTTAAAGGCCAAAAAGGTGCATCTCTGTGGGTCTGCAGAGAACATGAGACTGTCTGCGGAAGTGTTGACAGTTCTCGCACACACAGAATGATACGGATAAATGAGAGGTTTTCCTCTTGTTAATCGATCGCCGGACGTGGATGTTTGGTTAAATAGGGCGGATACAGCAAAAAAGGATGATAATAAGAATAAAAAAAGAAAGTGTCACCAGATATACTGCGGTGGCCGTTAATATACGCGGGTGCGAAGCCCTGAAATATTATGAACGTACACATTAGGTGAGCAGGTTACTTTGTAACTTGTGCTAACAATTTGCTACGTGAGGAGATTTGCAGTGATGAGCAATTTGGCTGTTTGCACCAGATGAAACACGACAGAAAAGTAAATACAGCCATTCAGACGCACAGAATAGTGCACTCACTGCACTCCAGCGAAATGGTTAGGTTTCTAATCTAATTAGTACATATTAAACCTCTTTAACATTATTAAATATAGATGCTGAATCACTGATATGTGTTGGCTTGCACTGAATCACAGTTATAAAGTTTAATTTCAAACATTTTATATATTAGTTTCAGAATCTGAGGTGAACTATCTGCTGCTGCTTTCAGTAGTATGGCATTAAAACTTACATTATTAGCATTTAACACTGAATAAAGCACATGAGGTGTGATTTATTTTCTGTTGTTCAGCCGCAAGATATAGAAGCTGTTTCTAAAATATTAATTTCAGGTGTTGGTTAGGACAAAAACCTTTTCATGTATCATGTGCCATTGCTTTTAGTTAGACCACGACTTAAATCAGCCTTTAGGCTCGATAGTCAGGATCGCTCCTGTTGGACCTCAATCTGGCAACCTGCACTTGCGCTGGGTGTCAAACAAACATGCTGCATCTTTATTAGCTATTGTTATTGTATTTGTTTATTTTGTATTTGTTAATTATTTAAAATAATTAGTTATTTTGTTTGTTTACCTCTTAATGGACTAAAATGAATTTATAAAAAAAATCTATACAAATGAATTATGGATTTAAACAAACTTCTTACTCAATATCTTAAATTCCTAGCCTAATTTGCTGTAGGGTTATTTGATTCCAGGTTGAACTTGCTTTTAAATGCAATGATAAGTCTTCAAGCACGACTTGCCTTGTTGAGACTACTGGTCTCGATGTTTTTGCTGAGCTGCTGTGGGTGTTTTAACATTTTGTGGATCGAATATTGTTTTCCAGCTGATCCTTTTGGAGGAGATCCCTTCAAGCAGAACGACCCATTTAAAGACCCCTTTGCTAATTCTGATCCCTTCGGAGAAAGTTCATCAAGTCAACTCAAGGTGAATAAAAATAAAAAAAATACTGCAAATATTGGTGCTGTCATTGACCAGAAAGAACATGAGTATTATCAGGTATGCAGCGCTGAAAAAAAACATTCATTGTATTTACCTTTACTTTTTTTAAAGTAAGTGGTTGCAAACAATTGATGTGGCCTGAATTTAAAATTAGGTTGAACTACATTTCATTTCTTTGTTTAAATTCAGCCCATATCAATTGTGTTCCACCAGGTAAAACATTTTAGTAGTTAATCAACCAATTAATCATTTTTTTACTCTACTATGGCTAATAATTGTTTTTAAATCAGTTGCATCAGTCTGAGTAAGAGGTATTTGAGTATCGGGATTAGGGCTGTGCAATTAATCGAAAATCCAGTTTCGATTTCGATTACGGCTTCTAACGATTATGAAAATCATTAATCAAGATAAACGATTGTTCTATCATGTACCGCTTCCTTTCCAGTTCCACGTGAAAGTGACTGAAAGATGTGCTGCAATGTAACTTTTGCATCATTCATATTTTTAAAAGCGCGAAAGAGCACGTGCTGTTGTGTGTGTGCGCGCGCTGCGCTCAGCCTCGGACAGGTATTGTGTGTGTCTGTGTGCGCGCGGTCCGCGCTTAGCCTCGGACAGCAGAGCACACGCACATTTAACGCCATCTTAATGCGAGAGCTTTAATGGTCAAATACATGCACGGTGTTTAGTGATTATTCATATTAATCCTCATTTGTGTAATTAACAAACAAGTTGGGAATCAAAAGACACGAGAAAGGGAAACCATATCAGAGCCGCACTATTCTTAAAGTGACAGCGTGCGATATTCCTGCTGCTGTTTTTATTATTAATCAAACAACAAAAGGACAAAATCCACTCACTGCTCTTGACTGAAGGACTTTTGTAGTTAAAGTTTTTTCTTACAGTGAAGATGCTTAAAGCACAGTTTAAACATAATAGTTTTAATAAAAATTATAAAAATTATAATAATTACGAGATTAAAATGCGTAAATTATTTAAATAAGGCAAATGCATTGATTAACCATTTCTAATAGTTTACATATATTTTGCAGCCAGTTTAGATTTAATTTCATTCTCTCTGAGTGTAGTAAAGTTTTAATGAGTCGTTTAGATTAAAGAATGTATTGTTTTATTTGCTCTCGCGGCCAGCTGCGAAGCCAAGCTATATTAGGCCTAAGCAAAAAGAAAGCGACAGCTTCAGTAAGCGAAAGCAAAAGTCGGATTCCTGAAATCTTAGAAGATTTTAAAACCCGGCCAGACAATATTTTAAAGGCCAAAAAGGTGCATCTCTGTGGGTCTGCAGAGAACATGAGACTGTCTGCGGAAGTGTTGACAGTTCTCGCACATACAGAATGATACAGATGATACGGTTTTCCTCTTGTTAATCGATCGCCGGACGTGGATGTTTGGTTAAATAGGGCGGATACAGCAAAAAAGGATGATAATAAGAATAAAAAAAGAAAGTGTCACCAGATATACTGCGGTGGCCGTTAATATACGCGGGTGCGAAGCCCTGAAATATTATGAACGTACACATTAGGTGAGCAGGTTACTTTGTAACTTGTGCTAACAATTTGCTACGTGAGGAGATTTGCAGTGATGAGCAATTTGGCTGTTTGCACCAGACGAAACACGACAGAAAAGTAAATACAGCCATTCAGACGCACAGAATAGTGCACTTGCTGCACTCCAGCGAAATGGTAAGGTTTCTAATCTAATTAGTACATATTAAACCTCTTTAACATTATTAAATATAGATGCTGAATCACTGATATGTGTTGGCTTGCACTGAATCACAGTTATAAAGTTTAATTTCAAACATTTTATATATTAGTTTCAGAATCTGAGGTGAACTATCTGCTGCTGCTTTCAGTAGTATAGCTAATAATAACTCATTTCTAATAACTGATTTCTTTCATCTTTGCTATGATGACAGCACATAATATTTTACTAGATATTTTTTAAGACACTAGTATTCAGCTTAAAGTGACATTCAAAGGCTTAATTAAAGTAAATAGGCAAGTCATTATGTAACAGTAGTTTCTTCTGCAGACAATCAAACATATATATTGCTTAAGGGGGCTAATAATATTGAGCCATTCAAATGTTTCAAAATATTTAAACCTGCTTTTTTCCTAGCTGAAATAAAACATATAAGCCTTTCTCCAGAGGAATATATATTATAGGAAATACTGAAAAAAAATTGCTCTGTTAAACCTAATTTGGGAAATATTTGTGTATATAAAAATAAATTCACAGAAGGGCGAATAATTTTGACTTCAACTGATAATCGTTTTGAATAATCATGATTACAATTATGACCAAAATAATCGTGATTATGATTTTTCCCATAATCGAGCAGCCCTTATCGGGATACTATAAAAGTTCTGCATTTGATTTAATTTGAGTTAATAGGCTATATGTCTTCAGGTAACCTGTCTTTCCATTACAAATCTGTCACGTTTAAGATCTGATTTCTTTAAAAAATCAGCAATCTCAACTGCCTTTTAGATATACAATATGAAGTGGCTCTGAGATCACTTAAGTAGCACTGCATTAAATTCCATCTCCTCCTGCCATGTCTTTAAAATATGCCAGTTTATTTTACCTCAGTATTTTGAATGGAATTTCTGCACTAGCCTGTTGTTGCTGACGGCGCTAGTGGTTACGACGGTCTTTCATCTCGATTTACGCTTGAACAACTAAATGAATGCTTAAGTCTATTTAGCTGAATGTATTGTAATTACATTAAATTAAATACATGCTGTTAGAAAAGTGCTTTATAATACACTTCAATTAATCAATGTATTTACTAAGAATAACTAATAATGAACAATACTTGTACAGCATTTAATATTCATTGCAACATTTATTAATGCATTATTAAAGTGTAGTTAACATTAGTTAATGCTCTTTGAGTTAACATGAACAACTTCATTTTAATTAACTAATGTTAACAAAGATGAATAAATGCTTTAATCTTGTATTTATTTTGTTCATGTTATGCAATAATATATTTAGGTATTTATTATTTTGCATTTTATATATCTATATTTTTATATTTCTGAATCACAAAACCTATTTATATTAGGTTTTTATAATGTTTTCTAAAGTCCTAAGGTGTTCTTCATAGGCGGAGGGTGAAAAACTCCAGGGTAAGGCTACGATAAGCGATGCCCTTTAATGCATTTAAAAATATTTGCAACCAACACATTAAATTATTTTATTACACTAACCCACTATATAATAATCTACATAATAAATATAATGCATTGCATATATTAAATTCATTCATTCACTCATTTTAATTTTGGCTTAGTCCCTTTATCATTTCGGGGTTGCCACAGCGCAATGAAGCGCCAACTTATCCAGCATGTTTTACCCAGCAGATGCCCTTCCAGCTGCAAGCCATCACTGCGAAAGTTTATATTTTATTTTATTATTATTATTTTTTTATAATTATATTATATTATATTATATTATATTATATTATATTATATTATATTATATTATTTTATATTATTTTATTTTATATTATATTATATTATATTATATTATATTATTTGATATTATATTATAATAATTATATTATTATATTCTATTATATTTTATTATCTTATATTACTTTATATTAAATTAAATCATATTATATTATATTATATTATATTATATTATATTATATTATATTATATTATATTATATTATATTATAGATTAATGGTATAAAAAATAAAGTTTATGCTTAAGAACGGCAATTAACCAGTGTTCTAAATAAGTCTAAAGCTACTCTTAAAAAAATGCATATAAATAAATGAATGAATGAATAAATAAATAAATAAATAAATGCATACTTTCACATAACTTTCCTTAAAAAGTAGCTAAGTAACACATTTAGCTACTTTTAAAGTGACTAGATTGTAATTGTTGGTCTTTTACTTCCCCCAACACTGAAAATAAGATTTCATTTAATGCTGAAAACAAGTTAAACCAGAATGATATATTATTATACCTCTCCCATTATACTCATTTGTCATTTTACGACGTATGTCATTAACCAGCAAATCAGAATAGTTCGCTGGCCAGCACTTTTGGTTTCGTTTTCAGAGCTGGTGCAAACTTCTGTCAAAAACAGCGCTCATCAGTGCAAAGTGTGGGGTTGGACAGTTCCATTTCTGTAAGGAGGGGGACTTTAAATTTGATTGACCGACTTACAATAACTAAAGTGTTCTGTTAAAAACCAACATTAAATTACATTCATATTCTGCCTTACACCCATTACATGTTTTCAATGCAGTTTTTTTTCTTTGCTGCTATCTCCGTGGTCTCTGGCCAGGGGTAGGCTAAACCTTCCCAGCCTTACACACACTCCGCCTTTGGTGTTCTTCATACATATTAGTTTTTTTTTTCTTGTTGAGTTTTGTGTTTACTGAAAAATAAAGCAATCTAAACTGAACTAAAACTGATTTTAATAAATGCATTAACCAATGGAACCTAATTGTAAAGTGAATTATAATTAGTTTAATTAACAAAGTTGAAACCTGTCTATTCAGTTTTTGAAACCTTAAAGCTTCTTAAAGTAAAGTCTTATCCCTGATAATTTTGCACGTTGCAGCCTGTGAGAATATTTTGTGGTGAGAAACATGTCATAATGTACTTTACCACATTTTAGTTTGTGCTCTGTAATTCCCATGATGCAATGTGGTTTGTGTCTCACTTTTGTGTGTCTTACAGGCCAGTCCTTTCACCAGACGAATCAGCCAGACGTCAATGAGTCCAAAACCCAAAGACTCGGGTATGATGTTCATTCATTTACATTTAATCTATTAACCAGCATCAGTGGATAGCTTGCAAATGACCCGCTAGGCAAGGCAAGGCTACACTGTAAAACAAATACTGTAAAATACACTCACCGGCCACTTTATTAGGTACACTTTACTAGAACCGGGTTGGACCCTCTTTTGCCTTCAGAACTACCTTAATCCTTTGTGACATATATTTAACAAGGTACTGGAAATATTCCTCAGAGATTTTGCTCCATATTGACTAGGGGTGTCATGATTTCGATTTTTAATCGAAATCGATCGAAATTTATGCTCAATTTCGATTATCGAATCAAAAAATAGAATCGTCGATGCTGCCACGCCCCATGTCACGTCAGCTAGGCTTGCCAAGCGGGAAAAAAACAGGCTTGTTGAAGTGCTTGTTAAACTGCAGAAGCAGGAGACCCGTCGACAGAACCTAAACCCTCTCCTCTTTCAATGAAGTTGCCGGTGTGTAAGCATTTTGGATTTCCAGTGAGTTATGTTGACAACGTTCGCGTTGTTGACAAAAAAACACAGTTTTGCAAGCTCTGCTATGTACGTATTATGACGGTTCGTCCGATAGACAACACCGGCATCGCGATCCTCCGCCCGCCCCCGTTGCAAATCCGCTCGCGAAAAGTACACACTCAGGCCCTGTTTACACTGTCTTTGTTTTTAAATGCCATTTTAGAACGACAACGATTTGACATCCACAGTGGCGTGTAGCATTTCTGAGCAGCCCTCCTTCCTCTCTACCTCTGAAACATCACGTGACCACACAGACACAGACGCACACACAGCCATGCGCTCGAGACAGCAGGTCCAGGCAGTCAGAGGACTGCTTCGATCTTTCACTCACTTGTACTTAGTCATTTTATTGAACACCTCAGATACTGTTGGCTGGCTGTGCGTCTTTTTTACCGATGCCATTATAACGACACAGATCACTGCCTATTCACGAGTCCCGCAGAAAAAGTGATTGACAGGTGGTAATTATGTGTGTAACTTGCCTTTACTCATTTACTGTATGATTTGTTTATGGGTAAAACAAAGACCATGCAGGTATGGTAGTTTAAACGGTAGGCTACAAATAATTAATTGGTCATTAATTAATTAATTATTGATAATCGAAAATCGAATCGAATCGTCCCTTTAGAATCAAAAAATGTAATCGAATCGAGGATTTGGAGGATCGTGACACCCTTAATAATGACATGACAGCATCACGCAGTTGCTGCAGATTTGTCGGCTGCACATGCATAATGCGAATCTCCCGTTCCACCACTTCCCAAAGGTGCTCTATTGGATTGAGAGCTGGTGACTGTGGAGGCCATTTGAGTACAGTGAACTCATTGTCATGTTCAAGAAACCAGTCTGAGATGATTCACGCTTTATGACATGGTGCGATATCCTGCTGGAAGTAGCCATCAGAAGATGAGTACACTGTGGTCATAATAGGATGGACATGGTCAGCAACAATACTCGGGTAGGCTGTGGCGTTAACATGAGGCTCAATTAGTACCAATGGGCCCAAAGTGTGCCAAGAAAATATCCCCCGTAGCATTACACCACCACCACCATCCTGAACCGTTGATACAAGACAGGATGGATTCATGCTTTCATGTTGTTGACGGCAAATTCTGACCCGACCATCTGAATGTGGCAGCAGAAATGGAGACTCATCAGAGCAGGCAACGTTTCTCCAATCTTCTATTGTCCAGTTTTGGTGAGCCTTTGTGAATTGTAGCCTCAGTTTCCTGTTCTTAGCTGACAGGAGCGGCACCCGGTGTGGTCTCAGTCTGGCCATTCTCCTTTAACGATCAATTTGCGCCCACAAAACTGCCGCTCACTGGAAATTTTCTTTTGTTCAGACCATTCTCTGTAAACCCTAGAGATATTTGTGCATGAAAATCCCAGTAGATCAGCAGTTTCTGAAATACTCAGACCAGCCCGTCTAGCACCAACAACCATGCCACGTTCAAAGTCACTTAAATCCCCTTTCTTCCCCATTCTGATGCTCGGTTTGAACTGCAGCAGATCATCCTGACCATGTCTACATGCCTAAATGCATTGAGTTGCTGCCATGTGATTGGCTGAATAGAAATTTGCGTTAACGAGCAGTTGAACAGGTGTACCTAAGTATTAACTAGCAATTTTGGTTGCCAGTAATATTGTTAACTTTACAGTGCACTTATAAATTTTGCCCGTAGTACTATAAAAGTGGCCAGTAATACTGTAAAATATACATGCACACTTTTTTGTGTGCAAATTTACACAGTATAATTGGCAACCAAAAAGTGATGGTAAAGTAATTGAGAAAGTCATAAAACACTCAATTGAAATAAATTAAGTTTTTTTTTTGTTCATCAAAGCATCTGGAAACTATCCATCTATCTATTAAGGGAAAAAAAGAGAGTAAAATGCAAAACATTAATCATTTCCAATCACCCTTTTACAGTATATTAAAATTAAATTAAAGAATTTATATTTTACACGAGTCAAAAGCATCAAAACTGTATCAGATTTAGAGATAAAACACTGTAAGTGAAGATGCACCACATCTCTATGTTTTGTTGTTTTATCAGTTCGTCTGTCTGTTAGAGGAAGCCACAAGGTGCAAGGCATGTTTTCAGAGTAGAACAACAATAGAGCTTTAAAACCCATAAATAAAGGACAAAAACAGCGCAGACCTGTTAGCTTTCAGTAACACCATATTAAAGCAGGTTACGTTGTATATATGTGTATTGCTGTTTGTTCAAATGACTAATTTTAAATGAGTTAAAACATCACAATTGTTGAGTTTTATGTTCAATCAGTGAAATGTTTCAAGTAAAATTTGTAAAAACTAATAAGTTATCTTAATTCCTTCATGTTGTTCCAACTCAAATAGATTTTTTACATTGTTGGAAATACAATGATTTCTTTTTAATACATCATCATTTATGAACTGAAATAAAGTATAGAATTAAAGTATAATATAGCAAAGGGTTTAGAGTAAATGTAAAAGAATTCACTTTTAAAATTGCTTCAAATGTAACATTTATTTAATCAAAAGTCTTTATTTGAAAGCTTTATTAAGATTTGATTCTATTGGATATTTGATTTTTACAATTTGCATAACTTCTTTATATATTTATTATCAAATTATTTAAAAAATCCAACCAAAAAAATTGAATCACATGTAAATGAAAGCTTCCAAATAAAGACTTTTAATTGGATAACTCATAAATTTAAAAACATTTTGACAGTAAATTATCTTATATTTACACTAAAATCTTAAATATAACATGCTTTGCTGTATTTACATATAACTATATCAATTAATATAACCTTTATTGTTATATTTATATACAATTTACATAAATTCCATACTTCTATATATTTATTAAATCACATGACGTCAAACATTTTATCAAAAATAAATTTAAAGATTAAATATTTTACATTTTAAATGTAAAGACATTTTGACAGTATTTTTTATTAACTTTAAAGTCTTTGATATATTTACTTATAATAAATATATAGAAGTATGAAATTTATTTAAATTATATCAAATTATATAAAAATTCCAACCAAATATTTATCAAATCTAAATAAAAGCTTCCAAATCAAAGAATAATTAATTAAATAACTGTTAATTTTGACAGAAAAGTCTCATATATTTACTGTAAAGGCTTTGATATAACATTATTTGCTTTGTTTACATACAAATTACATAAATCCATACTACTTTATATTTATTATATAAATAATATAAAAAAATGTAATCAAAAATAGAATCAAAACTACATAAAAGCTTCTATAATTAAGACTTAATTGAACAACTGTTAAATTTGACAACAACTTCTCTTTTATTTTCCCTAAAGTCTTTGATGTAACATACTTTACTATATTTACAGACAATTTACATAGCTTTTATACATCTATATAGTTATTACATCAAATTATATAAAAATTCCAACAAAATATTTATCAAATCTAAATAAAAGCTTCTAAAATTAAGACTTTTAATTAAACAACTGTTAAGTTTGACAGTAAATTCTCTTACATTTACTCTAAAGGCTTCACAGAAAGATCAAATAAAGAGCATGTTTCATATTAATGTTTTTTTTTTTAAACTAGCGGTCAGCTGCCTCAATATTTCCTGTGGCCTGTTTCTATTATTAGCTCTTTTACGCACACGTTTAGCTGCAGGCCTTCCTAAAATAGTCCAGTCCAAACAAGCAGCGCTTTGTGGCCAAAGGTAACGTAACGGTCCGCATGACAGCACCTTTTTCTCTCTTACTCCTGTTTTTCTCTGACAGCGAACAGGTAAGCTCTTTCTGCGCGTCCCGTCTGAGGAAACGGGGTTAATTTATGGGAAACACGCAGACTGAGGTGCTCTCTTTTTATTATTTTTTTTACAGGAACACTAGAGAGTGTGTTTGGAGCTGTTAGTGGTCTCACACTTATAGAAGTGTTCAGGAAACTCGCACGCATTTTACTGGCTCCGCTTTCTCACTGCAAACACACTGAGGCACAATAGCTTTCGTTCTTCACAACACACACACACACGGTTTTGAGTAAACAGTCGGTTGGGTTTGGAATTCATTCCGGGTACGAACCTTTTGAACTCTGGAATTTCTTTGAATGTAACATTTAAAAAAAGAATAAAGAGAATGCAGTAAAATGATCAAAAGTTTTATTATATTACAAAAAACTACGTCTTTTTAATAAAGGGAAACCAAAAATTACGTTTTTTTTATCTGTTTGATATACTGTGTGTGTGTGTGTGTGTGTGTGTGTGTGTGTGTGTGTGTGTGTGTGTGTGTGTGTGTGTGTGTGTGTGTGTGTGTGTGTGTGTGTGTGTGTGTGTGTGTGTGTGTGTGTGTGTGTGTGTGTGTGTGTGTGTGTGTGTGTGTGTACAAATGTGAATGTGAATTATTTTAAATTGTTGCAATACTTTTTAAAATCAGATAAGTTTAGAAAAATCAGCTTTAATCACATTTTTAAATTTTATTGTTTAAAAACAGTAGAAGATAGATTACAAAAACAATTTTTAAAACAGGTTTTTGAACGGTTTTAAAAATCTCTTTGTGTTGAATTAAAAATAAATTATCCTGTAAGTTAAAGAGAAGAGTTATTTTAAATTGTAATAATATTTCGCAATAATACTTTTAAAAATCAGACTTATCAAAGAAATCAGCTTTGAATCACAGGATTGAATCGCATTAAAAAACGAGGGTAAAGTAAAACTGTTACATTTGATCTGTTTATGTTAATAAAATAAAAATAAACTTATGTTAAAATAAAAGTTTTTTAAATTATGAATCATTCATTTTTTAATTCTTTATTTGATTCATGTTTCACAATAAGATAATCTAGAAATGTGTGTGTGTGTGTGTGTGTGTGTGTGTGTGTGTGTGTGTGTGTGTGTGTGTGTGTGTGTGTGTGTGTGTGTGTGTGTGTGTGTGTGTGTGTCTGTGTGTCTGTGTGTCTGTGTCTGTGTCTGTGTGTGTGTGTGTGTGTGTGTGTGTGT